ACTACTGGACTAGTGAGTAGTACATATCGTTACATCACTACTGGACTACCGAGTAGTACATATAGCTACATTACTACGGAACAGTTGAGTAGTACACATAGCTACATCACTAGTGGATTATTGAAAGTGCATATAGCTACATCACTACTGGACTATTGAGTAGTACATATAGCTACATTACTACGGGAGTATTGAGTAGTACATATAGGTTTATTGCTATTGGACTATGGAGTAGTACATATCGTTACATCACTACGGGAGTATTGAGTAGTACATATAGTTTTATTGCTATTGGACTAGTGAGTAGTACATATCGTTACATCACTACTGGACTACTGGGCAGTACATACGGCTTTATTACTATAGGACTATTGATTAGTACATATAGCTACAACACAACTGGATTATTGAGTAGTACTCATAGCTTTATTACTACTGGACTAGTGAGTAGTAAATACATCTGCATCACTACTGGACTAACGAGTAGTACAGATCGTTACATAACTACTGGACTACTGAGTAGTACATATAGCTACATCACTAAGGGGCTATTGAAAAGTACATATAGCTACATCCCTACTGGAGAATTGAGTAGTACATATAGCTACATCACTACTGGACTACTGAGTAGTACATATAGCTACAAAACTACTGGACTAGTGAGTAGTAAATACATCTGTATCACTACTGGACTAGTGAGTAGTACATATCGTTACATCACTACTGGACTACCGAGTAGTACATATAGCTACATTACTACGGAACAGTTGAGTAGTACACATAGCTACATCACTAGTGGATTATTGAAAGTGCATATAGGTATATTACTCCTGGACTAGTGAGTAGTACATATAACTACACCACTACTGGATAACTGAGTGGTACATATAGCTACATCACTACCGGACTAGTGAGTAGTACATATAGCTACAGCACTACTGGACTACTGAGTACTACATACCTACCTAACTACTGGACTACTGAGTAGTACATATAGCTAAAACACTACTGGACTACTAAGTAGTACATATAGCTAAATCACTACTGGACTACTACGAGGCTATTGAGTAGTACATATAGCTACATCACTAAGAGGCTATTGAAAAGTACATATATCTACATCACTAACGGACTAGTGAGTAGCACATATAGCTACATCACTACTGGACTACTGAGTAGTACATATAGCTACATCACTAAGGGGCTATTGAAAAGTACATATAGCTACATCCCTACTGGAGAATTGAGTAGTACATATAGCTACATCACTACTGGACTACTGAGTAGAACATATAGCTACAAAACTACTGGACTAGTGAGTAGTAAATACATCTGTATCACTACTGGACTAGTGAGTAGTACATATCGTTACATCACTACTGGACTACCGAGTAGTACATATAGCTACATTACTACGGAACAGTTGAGTAGTACACATAGCTACATCACTAGTGGATTATTGAAAGTGCATATAGCTACATCACTACTGGACTATTGAGTAGTACATATAGCTACATTACTACGGGAGTATTGAGTAGTACATATAGGTTTATTGCTATTGGACTATGGAGTAGTACATATCGTTACATCACTACGGGAGTATTGAGTAGTACATATAGTTTTATTGCTATTGGACTAGTGAGTAGTACATATCGTTACATCACTACTGGACTACTGGGCAGTACATACGGCTTTATTACTATAGGACTATTGATTAGTACATATAGCTACAACACAACTGGATTATTGAGTAGTACTCATAGCTTTATTACTATTGGTCTATTGAGTAGTACATATAGCTGCATCATTATTGGACTATTGAGTACACAGCTACATCACTACTGGACTACTGAGTAGTGCTAATAGCAACATCACTATTAGACTATTGAGTGGTACATATAGTTACATCATTACTGGACTATTGAGCACACAGCTACGTCACTACTGGACTATTGAGTAGTACATATAGCTACATCACTACTTGGCTATTCAGTAGTACACATAGCTACATTACTACTGGACTATTGAATACACAGCTGCATCACTACTGGCGTATTGAGAAGTACATGTAGCTAAATCACTACTGGACTATTGAATACACATAACTATATCACTGCTGGAATATTGTGTAGTACATATTGCTACATAACTACAGGACTATTGAGCAGTACGTAGCTACATCACTACTGTACAATTGAGAAGTGCATACAGGTACATCACTACTGGACTATTGAGTATACATCTACATCACTACTGAACTGTTGAGTACACACAAAGTTTGATTACTACTGGACTATTGATTACACATCTACATCACTACTGGACTATTGAGCAGTACATATAAGTACATCTCTACTGGAATATTGAGTACAAATCTACATCACTACTGGACTATTGAGAACAAAGCTACATCACTACTGGACTATTGAGTACACACAATGTTTACTACTGGATTACGGAGAATATGCATAGCTCCATTAACACTTGGCTATCGACTACACACAAAGCTACATTGAAACTTGACTGCAGATAACTCACAAAGCTACATTATTGTAAGTTCGGGTACATACATAGCATCATGATATTACAACTCGACTATCGGGTACACACATATCTACATTACTACTAGGCTGCCGAGAATACACATATCTACATTACTACTGGGCTATCGGGTACACACATATCTACATTAATACTGGACTGCCGAGAATACACATATCTACATTACTACTGGACTGCCGAGAATACACATATCTACATTAATACTGGGCTGCCGAGAATACATATATCTACATTAATACTGGACTGCCGAGAATACACATATCTACATTACTACTGGACTGCCGAGAATACACATATCTACATTAATACTGGGCTGCCGAGAATACACATATCTACATTAATACTGGACTGCCGAGAATACACATATCTACATTAATACTGGACTGCCGAGAATACACATATCTACATTAATACTGGACTGCCGAGAATACACATATCTACATTAATACTGGACTGCCGAGAATACACATATCTACATTAATACTGGACTGCCGAGAATACACATATCTACATTAATACTGGACTGCCGAGAATACACATATCTACATTACTACTGGACTGCCGAGAATACACATATCTACATTAATACTGGACTGCCGAGAATACACATATCTACATTAATACTGGACTGCCGAGAATACACATATCTACATAACTACTGGACTGCCGAGAATACACGTATCTACATTAATACTGGGCTGCCGAGAATACACATATCTACATTAATACTGGACTGCCGAGAATACACATATCTACATTAATACTGGACTGCCGAGAATACACATATCTACATTAATACTGGACTGCCGAGAATACACATATCTACATTAATACTGGACTGCCGAGAATACACATATCTACATTAATACTGGACTGCCGAGAATACACATATCTACATTAATACTGGACTGCCGAGAATACACATATCTACATTAATACTGGACTGCCGAGAATACACATATCTACATTAATACTGGACTGCCGAGAATACACATATCTACATTAATACTGGGCTTTCGGGTACACACATATCTACAATAAAACTGGACTGCCGAGAATACACATATCTACATTAATACTGGGCTATCGGGTACACACATATCTACATTAATACTGGACTGCCGAGAATACACATATCTACATTACTACTGGACTGCGGAGAATACACATATCTACATTAATACTGGACTGCCGAGAATACACATATCTACATTAATACTGGACTGCCGAGAATACACATATCTACATTACTACTGGACTGCCGAGAATACACATATCTACATTAATACTGGACTGCCGAGAATACACATATCTACATTACTACTGGGCTATCGAGTACTCACATATCTACATTACTACTGGGCTATCGACTACACACATAGCTACATTGAAACTTCAGATAACTCACAAAGCTACAACATTAATGTAAGTTCGTGTACATACATAGCTACATGATATTACTACTCGACTATCGAGTACACTTATTGCAAACATTATTACTTGACAGCCAAGAACACTTGACAACATCTCTAACTGGCTGTCGAATACAGGCATCGTTATAAGACTACTGGACTACCATGTTTACCCAGAGTGCAATTTCACTGCTGAGTGCAAATATGTGAATTTCAACGGAGAGTAAATTGTCTATTAGATGGTTATAATCTCGTTCTTAAGCTCTTAAAGATAGGTGAAACTAAAAAATAGTTAACTCAATATTCTCGCTCTGTAGTATTCTCGAGCTTCTCGTTTGTAGTATTCTCGATCTCTTCCTTTGTAATATTCTCTAGCTCTCCCTTTGTAGTATTCTCGTTCTCTTCTTTTGTAGTATTCTCGATCTCTTCCTTTGTAGTATTCTCGATCAGTTACTTTGCAGCATTCTCGATCTCTTCCTTTGTAGTATTCTCGATCTCTCGCTTTGTAGTGTTCTCGAGCTCTTGCTTTGAACTATTCTCGATCTCTTCCTTTGTAGTATTCTCGATCTCTCGCTTTGTAGTATTCTCGATCAGTTCCTTTGCAGCATTCTCGATCTCTTCCTTTGTAGTATTCTCGACCTCTTCCTTTGTAGTATACTCTATCTCTCGCTCTGTAGTGTTCTCGAGCTCTTGCTTTGAACTATTCTTGATCTCTTCCTTTGTAGTATTCTCGATCTCTCGCTTTGTAGTGTTCTCGGGCTCTTGCTTTGTAGAATTCTCGATCTCTTCCTTTGTAGTATTCTCGATCTCTCGCTTTGTAGTATTCTCGATCAGTTACTTTGCAGCATTCTCGATCTCTTCCTTTGTAGCATTCTCGATCTCTCGCTTTGTAGTGTTCTCGAGCTCTTGCTTTGAACTATTCTCGATCTCTTCCTTTGTAGTATTCTCGATCTCTTGCTTTGTAGTGTTCTCGATCTCTTGCTTTGTAGTGTTTTTAAGCTCTTGCTTTGAACTATTCTCGATATCTTACTTTGAAGTGTTCTCGAGCTCTTGCTTTGTAGTGTTCTCGATCTCTTGCTTTGTAGTGTTCTCGATCTCTTGCTTTGAACTATTCTCGATCTCTTGCTTTGTAGTATTCTCAATCTCTCCCATTGTAGTGTTCTCGAGCTCTCGCTTTGTAGTGTTCCTGAGCTCTTGCTTTAAACTATTCTCGATCTCTCCCTTTGTTGTATTCTCGATCTCTCGCTTTGTAGTGTTCTCGAGCTCTTGCTTTGTAGTATTCTCGATCTCTTCCTTTGTAGTATTCTCGATCTCTCGCTTTGTAGTGTTCTCGAGCTCTTGCTTTGTAGTATTCTCGATCTCTTCCTTTGTAATATTCTCGATCTCTCGCTTTGAACTATTCTCGATCTCTTCCTTTGTAGTATGCTCGATCTCTCCCTTTGTAGTATTCTCGATCTCTCGCTTTGTAGTGTTTTCAAGCTCTTGCTTTGAACTATTCTCGATATCTTACTTTGTAGTGTTCTCGAGCTCTTGCTTTGAACTATTCTCGATCTCTCGCTTTGTAGTATTCTCGATCTCTCCCTTTGTAGTGTTCTCGATCTCTCGCTTTGTAGTGTTCCTGAGCTCTTGCTTTGAACTATTCTCGATCTCTCGCTTTGTTGTATTCTCGATCTCTCGCTTTGTAGTGTTCTCGAGCTCTTGCTTTGTAGTATTCTCGATCTCTTCCTTTGTAATATTCTCGATCTCTCGCTTTGAACTATTCTCGATCTCTTCCTTTGTAGTATTCTCGATCTCTCCCTTTGTAGTATTCTCGATCTCTCGCTTTGTAGTGTTTTCAAGCTCTTGCTTTGAACTATTCTCGATATCTTACTTTGTAGTGTTCTCGAGCTCTTGCTTTGAACTATTCTCGATCTCTCGCTTTGTAGTATTCTCAATCTCTCCCTTTGTAGTGTTCTCGATCTCTCGCTTTGTAGTGTCCGCGAGCTCTTGCTTTGAAGTATTCTCGATCTCTCGCTTTGTAGTATTCTCGATCTCTCGCTTTGTAGTGTCCGCGAGCTCTTGCTTTGAAGTATTCTCGATCTCTCCCTTTGAAGTATTCTCGATCTCTCGCTTTGTAGTATTCTCGATCTCTCGCTTTGTAGTATTCTCGATCTCTCGCTTTGAAGTATTCTCGATCTCTCGCTTTGTAGTATTCTCGATCTCTCGCTTTGTAGTATTCTCGATCTCTCGCTTTGTAGTATTTTCGATCTCTCGCTTTGTTGTATTCTCGATCTCTCGCTTTGTAGTAGTCTCGAGCTCTTCCTTTGTAGTAGTCTCGAGCTCTTCCTTTATTGTAGTATCTCTCTCTCTCTCTCTCGCGGTGTGGTATTCTTGATCTCCCTTTTACGACTTTAATCAATCTGTAAGTATAAGTTATGTGGTTACCCGTTCACGGTTCTCATTTACGAAATGGGCTCCAGACGTAAACAGTCACTTCCAGTATATACAGCTCGGAGTGTATGTCTTTTGTAACAGCAAGGGCGTTGATAAACTCTTGCCTATATTTTATTGAGAAGTACAATAAATACGTCCTCGGTCCTTTGTTGTAATTCAATACTGGAAAAGCAATACTGAAGCGAAGTTTCTAATCATTTGGTTCTGTCCCATTATGTCTGAGGAACTCGTCTAGCATTTCCAGGTCAACAAAAAACATTCAAGTGAAAAATTTCGTCTGGGCGTTTAGATCGCTCTTCTGCAATCCACTTAACTGTGCCGCTAAGGAGGCGGTAGTTAGCGGCGCTATCGCATGAAACTATCACCACCCTTTTATCAACTTGACTAATGAGATAAAACGTCGCATCGCTCGCTATTCATCATTATTTGTTGGAGGAAAATGGCAAATGCGACAAACCTATTAAAGGTTAGCGCGGAAAGGCTCGCGTTGGTTATATTGGTGAAAGTGGCGGGAAATTGTGCGAAATTGAAGAAAACACGAGGGCCATTCCCATGATGCTTTGTCGTCTCACGGGAGCTTTAGGTTCAGAGGCAGCTAATAGCCAACCATTAACGACAGCATCGCGAAGTGTTGGCTCGCCAAAATTAACAGTGTCAACCAAGTCAGCGCCAATCGTGGTCCGCGAGGCGAAACACTGGTCTTCATTAAGCGCGAGGAAGTCGTTACGGGCTTCGTTGCGCATGCGCGACGGCTGCTAATGACTTCTGGTGAGAGCAGACGATCATTATTCACCGAGCAAAGGTCGCTTATAGCATCACTTCATTTTGTTTGAATGCCTCTTTAAAAGCCCTCCAGTCGTCTGAGAGAGCAACGGCTTCCACGTATTGATGTTTTTCTCCGGCATTTGCTAACGCCAAGGAATCGTGCAGTAGGAAATCTAAAACGCCAATCAACCATGTGTTGCTCCGTGTATTGATGGCGGACGTTTCCTGTACGGAAGCAGGGTACAGGGTGTTTAATGACTCTACGACTCGCAAATTGCGTTAAAAGCTCTCTGCAGCGCACTAAAAGACGCCAGCCCTTCCATAGCCGTCAGCGGGACAACATCAGCTGAAAGATCACTGACCAAAATTCTTGCAATTTCACCCCAGGGTATAAATCCCACAAAGGCTTCTAATGAAGATATTCTCCTTCAATCTACATCATTATTAATATTGCTTAATTGAGATCTTACACGGATTTGCCTGTCCTTTGAAACCGGGGCTTAAAGGAGGAGTATAAAATGTCGAGTGTCATAAGTTTCCGGTCCGGAAACTCTACATTTCATGGGAGAGTCCGGCTCTGTCCTTTTGTAATTTAATTTGGAATGAAATTGCATAAATGAGAGATTGGTACTGGTCGCGACAGTCTCAGATGAATAACGCCCTATCTTGCAAGCAAGGTGTCCCTACTGCTTGACTCTTACTACCTTGGTCGTTAAACCAAACTCCCTCACAACCGATTTCATAAATGAATGCACAGATTATCCTTCTGATTTTCCTCAAAATATATTTATATTAAGTCACAAGGTTTAATAATTATATAGTTACAGTGTAACCTGGTTGATCTGGACTTACACAAAATACCTACAGTCAATGAAAAAAGAATATATTTTACTGTTAATCCTGAATTCTTTCTAAGCGATCGGTTATGATATATCAAATATTTTTGATAGACGATATTTCCCTGAATTTCCAAAACAATTAATAAGGACATACTATCTTCCATACATGTATCCCATATCCCGACCACTTAATGTCACACGGAAAGTCAATCTCTACACAATGAATGAATAGTTCATAGCTAGAGTTTAATGCCAAGTAGTACATTTTTTATTCCATTCAATGAGGACGCTATCAATTTAAGTGTCTTTTCTCGTGTTGTTCTGTTGCTGTATCAGCTCTCTATATATTAACATAATACCTTTCACATAGCAAATATTTTTAACTTAAACGTGTAATTGTATGCGTATTTCTTCTGTGTATGGTTGAACTTTAAAATGTGTCTGGTGTTGTCCATGTTTTGCCTTGAAATTGAAAACTATTTGTGGATATTGAATAACGGAAATTTCAGAATTTGAAAAACGTAAACGCCATTACTTGTCTAAAGCGCTCAATTGATAAAGGTTGTAGAGAATGTGTGCTTGATACAAGCTTCCTCATGGCAGACGGACACCGAGCACACACTGGTGGTGGAGGATATCGCCACGGTTAACACTGTCGTCGGATGCTGCAGGCTCAATCGCATACTACTCATCTCGCTGCGGAGTCGCAACCCCACCAGTAAACTGGTCATCCTATATTCTCCTATGTAGATCTATTATCAAGGTTATCGATCTCCTCCTGATCAATAATCGGCAATCGCTGCGATTCACATAGGTCAGTCAGTTACCGGACAGAAGTGAAAGTCTTCATATTTCCAGCATTAAATCAAAAATCGCGATGTGTCTGCCACGCTGCTTAATTGGTAACCTAAAACCAAGGCAGATCTAATTGCAAGAGATCGAATCCATCTTTCACTGCGCTGGCGTGTGCTGCTTAGAAAAGTCTTCTAGTCTGCGAGTTGGTCCCGACTACCTTCACTTCCATCAAAAGAAGACAATGAATCTGAAATGTCTTTGATTAACAGTCGAGCTGGCGATTTTTTCTAATGAACATTCTATGAATAAACGACCAAGAGGGCTTATATTAAAAACCTTGTTTTGGAGTTAAAAGGCGTTTTCATTTTAAATGAAATACTGTTTTAATTGCAGGGAATAATTTTCGATGACATTTTGTGTGCTATGGTGGTGTCATGTTAAATTGATCTTCTGTGCATATTGGAAAACATTTGGTTGTTTTGAGTATCTGTTGTAATTAGCATCAGCCTGTGTATTGCACATCGTAATGTAATTACTTTAGCATCTTCATAATTAGTACCCGTTTGTCAGTCTGTCTGTCAGCAGTGACTGTTGTTGCTTTAAACTAACATCTGTATATTATGGCAGCATATGAGTACAATTGAACAAATACAACACCAAACAAAACACGTAAATGATGCTATATGAATAATTCAAAGCAAATGGTACTCCCATCAATTAACACCCACCGAGAAATGCTATTTGCGTTTAAAGAAACAAATTATTTGGATGGACGAAAATTATAGTTTAATTTTTTTTTAAACATAATCATAATCACGTTTAAATCTCGATAAAATATTTTCATTAAAACCCAACGGTAGTGACATTTGCAGGAATCGCTAATGGTCTATTAGAGAACAATTTAATCATTACGATTTCAGACTACTGCTTGTTTTAAGGCCAGACTAAATTCCATTTTGTCTGGGAAATTGGAAAGAGACGTGCAATTTTTATTTTTGACATGCGCAAAGAAACATGTGCTTTGTAATCGATATAGGAGGGGGGATTAACTCTTTTGCCGACACCCACGTTAATCATTGGGTTATTGATTCGAAATACGATGTCTTAAATCTATTTCAACTTTGTACTCATACTTTGTTTGAAGAGTCGATTGCTTTAAAAAATATATCTTTGTTTAACTGAAAGATACACAAGCAGAACATGTTTTGACTATGTACAGGTGATTGGTGTAAATATTTTCATGTGTTCACATCAACAACATTTTTGTTGTTGTTGTTGTAACGACGAAGACGCTGGTTCGACCGCCACATACATACATCGGTGTAAAGAACATTTCTAGTGAAAAACATCGGCGTAAAACCATACTCACTCACTGACCTGCTTTTCTTAAAATAATTCTTTTCTGTTTTGCAGCAGCAATTGTGCTGAGACTGTTCTATAGAACATATGCAACTCGATCGTTTACTGCTTGCAGGCTCTGCACAGTTGCCATCTGTTTGACGTCGACACTATTACGTTTACGTTTCCCAAATTAGAGGACGATTTGGAAACAAAAACAAGTCAACACAACAACCACGGAGACTGTATCTAATGCTAGTGTTTGGGATAATGTCAAAGCCTTACATCTGAGTTCTCTTTAACTATTAAAACTATATTCCAAATGGTTTCTCAAATTGAACAGTGTGAACAGTTTCTGTGCACATTTTAATTTAACTTCGTAGACACAATCGACGAAAGTGTTCTTGAATCCAGGTTTAATTTTCACAAGCATGTGTTCTTCAATGAGCGTGTGGAATTAAACTTAATTAAAACGTGTAACTAATACAATTTTTTTGGTTTTAAATGCATTAATGCAAACATCGTATCCGTGACAATTCAGAAACGGGATAAATTTGATATATCTCTCTGTACACCCGACATTTAGCCACAAGTTGGTGAAACATCTGAATTCGGCGACATCGACGATGCAGATTTGTCAAGATTCAAAATATATGGAAATGAGGACAACGATAGCTCAGGTTATGTCCTACTACATTCACCACGTGGCCAGCCAGCCAATACCTCATCAGCGACTATGTGTACCGCCGTTTTACACAACCATTCGTTACTTCTGCAAGTTGTTCCTTATCACTATGCATTACTTTATGACGCCCGGTGCAATTCACCACGGATGCCGCTGGTGGGGCAGGATACACTCACCTTCTCGCTAACATCTGGTATCATCACTATTTGATAGTGATTCATAAACACATGCTCATGATATAGTCGGAATCGAACATTCGACTAGGTGTTTGGCAGAGATTTCTTATGAATATGGAAATGGTTTTGTCGCTTGTATTTCCATACTGTAAAGTACACAATCATAAGGAAAGGAATTCTTAAATCCATGAACATTTCTATTATTCCCATGTTAGCATCGCGAGGGTTAGCGCAGGTGCAGTCACTGGACTCGCATAACAACGGCGAGTTTAAGATGAACCACTACTTAACTTACAAGGCTATCAGATGATTAACTATCTCCCCCATTCATTTTGCCACGCATACAAATGCTTCTGAATGCTCGACTCACGTGGCTATTAAAAAGGCTAAATCCAGATTCTCATATGATCATAATTAGAAAAAGCATTCATTTTAATTGCTAGTGCTCTCGTTTGAATATCCTGATTTCTTTGATGATTTCAGAAGATAGGGGCCAATAAGAGACTGCACGACTCTCAAACTGCATGCCATGCTACACTTTCATATCACAGTCGACATAACAAGGGAATTCAAGTAGTTGATGTACAGTCAGGAAATACTGACGTGATAGAATGTGACACCGTGTTTTGTGTCCGAGTTTAATTGTCAAAGACATATTGATGATACTGGACACCCCCTGCAGACATAACGTTGAATTTTCCTTCACACTGAATAGATTTGCATGTTTCACAAACACATATCATTCTCAATGTCTATTAAGTTACAATTTAACACGTTCAGTACTTTGTTCAACGTTTTCGAAAAAGTGTATGTAAAAACAAAAGTAACGGGTTCTTGGAACTGTTGTTAAGTCTGGAGGAAAGTAATAATAATATTTTGATTTTGTTCTTTTTGGACAAAAAGGCCACTTTATGTATTTGTGTTTTTATCTACACTTGCAAACAATACAGTGAGAAAACATCACGCTTTATAGACCGTAGGGATCTCGGTTCAGTACAAATGCCTTTGTTATTGTTAATGGCGTCTTTATAGTTTCCACAATAGTAAGGGACCGACCTTTTGATATTCAGGGGGAGGACCTGGGTTTTTCTATCGAGATTAGATATTTTTTTCAGCTTTAGCTGCAAAAGCAGATAGATTTTTAT